CTCTTCAGTTTGTATAAGCAAGGCACCACTGCATTGAACAAGACCAGGTCAGGCAAGCCTTAAATAAACATCAAACAAAACAAAAGAACATCAGTAGTAAATATGACTAACAATAATCAATTTTCTAATTCTATCTCTACATATGATTGCCTACTCAGCCCTGCACACTGCCCCTGTACCTGTTTTTTTTTCTGGTTCCATTGTCGTCCTCCTCCTGCAGGTCCTGCTGCACCTTCTGCAGCTCTTCCTCTTCCTTCTCTCCCTCCTCATCAACATGCCTGGGGTCATCATCACCCCGTACATCTGAATCACCTCCACTGACCAACAGCTCATAAACATACAGACATTCAGATATTCCTCACTTATAGAAGGATGTTGTCATTGTCTGATATTCACATTGCAACCTGCTGTTTATAATATATGAAATATTTCTGCCTTATATGTATATAATAAATGCATTACTAATCGTTCCTTTTTCTTCTGCTGCTGGGTCCTGCCTCATCTTTGCCTGCCACAGCAACTTATCCACCAAGGAATCGGTCGGTTAATCCAATTGAGCATCAGTGGGATGTGGTTCTCACTCACCAGTGCAGTAACTACCCCCTCCCCCCCACTGTCTGATAATCCCTCTGACCTTGTGGATTACTACATCCAAACTCTTTCCTCCTGTCTTGACCTGCTGGCTCCCATTATAACCAAAACCGTCTCCTTCACACTCTCAGCTCCCTGGAACCCCCTAAACTTGACACAAAATAAAATCCTGCAAGCGTCAACTGGAAAGGCTCTACAACAAAATGGCTTAACAGTTCACCTTCACGCATACACAGACTACCTTCACCAATACAAAAATGCTCTCAACACTGTCCAGTCCACCTTTAACTCACACCTCATACATTCCAACTCCTCAGCCCCCCCGAGACCATCTCTACAACCTTTACAGTGGACAAATGCAGCTCCGTCCAGTCTTTCTTTCAATCTAAAATTGACAGTATCTACAGAAACTTCACTAGTTCAATCTGGATTCCGCTCACAACACAGCACTGAAACAGTCCTCCTCAAAATAACCAGTGACCTCCTCCTCTCTGCCGACTCCGGTCACCTCACCATCCTAATCATGCTCGACCTCGCTGCAGCCTTCAACACCATCAACCACTCCACTCTTCTCTCCCAACAGGAAACCTACTCCAGTATTACTGGCACTGCACTCTCCTGGCTCCGCTCCTACCTCACCAACAGACAACAGTTCATCAACATCAATAACTGCACCTCCTCCACTGCTCCTGTGTCACAAGGCGTCCCCCAAGGTTCGGTGCTTGGTCCTCTCCTGTTCATCATTTACATCCTGCCACTCAGTAACATCATACGTAGATATTGTCTCCACTTCCACTGCTACACCGATGACGTCCAGATCTACATCTCCACCTAATCCATCACCACAGTTACCTCTGCAACTCTGACCAACTGCCTCACCAACATATAAACCTGGATGCACACCAACTTCTTACAACTCAATTACAATAAATCTGACATGATCATCATCTGCCCCAAATCACTCACAAAAAACACCAAGAACTTCAGCCTTTCCATCAACAACTTCATCACTCTGCTGCCCGCCTCCTCACCCACACACGCACCCGTGACCACATCACACTTGTCCACCAGAATCTTCATGGCTCCCTGTTCCCCAATGCATTCAGTACAAAATCCTCCTCCTCACACATAAAGCCCTCCATAATAAGGCCCCTTCCAACCTCACAGACCTGCTCCACCACCACAATCCATCCCGCAACCTCCGCTCCTCTGACACTTACCTCCTCTCACCTTAAATCAGGACCAAGCACCATACCTGGGGTGACAGAGCTTTCATCATTGCAGCCCCCTCTCTCTGGAACTCAACCAATACACATCTGAGATTGCAGCAAAATGTACTTTTTCGAATCACTTCTCAAAACCCACCTTTTTAGACTAGCTTTTAAAAGCAAATAATGTTATATACACCTGCTGCTGTTTGTTATTTATATGGTCGCCCCTTGCTCTTATGTATTTCTGCACCACATTTCTATCTACTGTTCATATATTTTATATTATACTATTTATGTTTTTAATCGGTTTTAAATGTACATAACTTCTGCTTTTACATGTAAAGTGTCTTTCAGTGTCCTGAAAAGCGCTGTAGAAATAAAATGTATTATTATTATTTCCCCACCTCAAAAAAGGATCTTAAAGGATCTGCTGCTAATGTCTTGGTGCCAGAAACCAAAGTGCACCCTCACAGGTCCACGTCTACACAGGTTAGGGCTGTTTTGGCAACAAAAGGGGGACCTTCCCAATATTAGGCATACGGTCATAATGAACAAATGCCCTTTGCTTTGCTATGCCTTCAGCTCAGTTAATAAAGTCTATCCTAAGAATCAGCTTTTACAGTCCAACAAGCTTCCTACATTTAACTGATGTACAATATGGTTGCTGCTCAGGAAAATAAGGTCACACAGTAAGTGATGAGAACAGCCCAAGCCCCAAACTTTGCACCCATCCATGACATTTAAACCAAATGTTGCACCAGGTGAGTCAAGGAGAAACAAGCCCAGCTTTTATCACCACTCTTTAATAATGTCATGTTAAATTAAGGTATGTAAAGTAGTACAGGCCAAACATTTTTTTCCATCAGGTATCACTGCGTTTCTGCATTTTTATTTTGTCCCGTTTCCTCTGCATATTCAAAATTCCCTGGCAGCTGACCTGGTGTCCCCTCATGTGTTATATATGTATGTAATTTTTTGTGAACGTAATGTAGTCTACTTCCTAAAGATATCCCATACGTTTTATTAGTGCTAAGTGTAGTGTCCAGCAGTGCACTTTCTGTGAGTCAAGGTTGCCAGCATGATGCCTCTGCTCTTTAGGAAGCAGACCATTAGAACTGCAAGAGACAAGCCATTGAGAGTCTGAGCCTATGTATTACAAGTACTACCTACCTTTCAGGGGGTTCAGGCAATAAATCAAACAATTCAACTCAACATATGACAGAAACGTGAACATACATAAATGGGCTAATAAAGTATTGACCACAACCTATTCAAGTCGCAGATGTTTATTTTTAGCTGTTAATCATACAATTTAAAAAATAACTTTACATCAAAAACATTATTTATTGCATGCAGTTATAGAAGAGATTATGAAATGCATAATTACCATAGGGCATTTTTGAAACAACGCTTACAATGAAGTTTGGCCCTTTTGATTCTCCCATTTTAGTGACACAACACGTACCTAGAAGTCTTTATAATAGACACAGTGGCCAGTGATGGCAGGAGGCAGGCAGACAGAAGGGTGTCGAGAAAGAATGGAGAAAGGCGATCTGGTGGAAGTGTGATCACAAGTCGCTAAGGTTAAAGTTGCTGTCTTTGTGATATCAAATGTTAGCTTAGCAGGCTTAACTTAACTAGCTAGAATATTAGGTTTGTTACAGATGTTCTCCTCACACAAGATTAAATTAGAAAAAAACATGTACAAAGTGGTATCTTTCCTATTTACTTCTGCTTTCCAAAACTGGAAACTGGCTAAGCCCCCATATGGAAAAGAAACAGAATTTCCCATTGCCTACAATAGTAAATGTTTATGTTTTATTTGTATTATATGTCTCATGAGAGTTATATGGCTCATATTATGATTTACTCATGAAAGTGGTCACTTTTGCATTTTTCTCATACAACATAATTATATGAATTAAGTATGAATCAAACAAACAATATATATGCTGTTTATAAGGAAAGTACATGGCAGTTTGTAAGTATGTTTTTCGTATATGTTCCATATCATTTTTGCATTTTTAATTACTATTTAAAACATGTCTTATTTATAAAGACATGTGCATTTTATTTATTAATATTTACAATTACATATATCTTTCTTGTGTGGAAAGTATATCTAATTTAAACGTAAACTTTACTTTCATTATATGTTTTTTATAAGTTTGTTATATGTCAGCCAAGTAAAATGGCCATATATGTATAAAAACATATACTTTTTAAATATGACTATATACCATTCTATATAGGTTTTTTGTATGTAATGTAAAATCACATCAGCCAATGAATATTACCATAGCAGCATTAAAAACATACTTTCTATAGTCAAACATTTGATGAAGCTGAGTTAAAACTGGCAAGGCATGGTTTGGGCAATGCCCAGATGAACTAATTTCTACCACACAATGACATAAATACAGTCCGAATAGATCTGTAATATTAAAAACAAAGCTGGTAGGCAATCTTTTCAACAGTCTTTATTAACAGTTAAACACTGCTGGGATTACAGTGCTGACAGCAGTAAAACCTAATCTTAAGAACAATATGTTTTCAAATATACCATTTAAATGAAGGAGCACATGGTTATTCTATTCTTATTCTAATATGGGAACAGTGTCACCAACAACTTGTCAATACAAACAGGTGTACTCACATTCGAGGTACGAGGTACAATCAATCGCTCTGAGCATAATGCTAATACTGCCGAATACTGTTTACTTAGATATTTTGAGTATACTCAATTTTGAAATTGCAAAGTACACAAAATTTCAACAAAAACTAAATTTAAAATGCCTTAATGGCTTACTTATGCCGGTTTTATTCTTACGCACACTGGATATCTCAGAGTAAACAGGCACTAAGCAGTAAATGCAGTAGTCAGAACCTGTTTTGCCTCAGGGCCAAGGACTATGTAACACACCTGTGTGAAACTCAGAGCAAACAAAACAGTTTAATGGGGAGCTGGGTACGCACCAACATTTTTACTTTTTGACTGGAGCTCTGTAATCTTGGCATTGATCGTGCTTTCAATGCTGGAGAGCTGGGTCCCTGGCCACCTCTCAAGAGTTGCACCTAAACATGAAAAAAAAAAAAAACAATGCAAAAAATTATTACAGTAGGCTGGAATCAGGAAATACACAAAAACAGAGACTGTTGATCAAACACCCATTAAAAAGAAGAAAGCATACTGTAAATGGCATCCAATTTATTTTTATCTAATGGTAGACGAGCCTCTCCTCCGCCTCGTTTGTTCCCCTGAAGATTGCAGTGAGCAGATGCCTCACAAAGACTGTCGCTGAATTGGCATTGAGGGCATAGGCCCACGCCAGTTTCTCAACCATGACTCCGCTCCCAGGATGGATCTCGACCTGGACACAAGGTGAGCATTAAAGTTTAAAATATCGGCATGTCTGATTTCTTCAGCCAAACAGACTTTAGTCATATAAGCAAGTCAGATCTGCCATACTCATTAAAAGCAAGTCTGACAAGCAGTAGATCTATTTTATATGCTGTATTTATTTATTCTTAAAAAAACAATTACCTTAGAAGACTGGGAGGCAGTCAGTGATGGAGACGCAGATGTGGAACTGGAAAGCGTAGATCTGGGGAGGGACAGTGAAGTGGCACATGGAGAACTGGACCTGGACTGTGGAGAGGCTGGAAGGGCCAGTAATGGTGTGGTGGGCTCCGCCCTGGATCTCTTAGGGCTTGCAGCCGAATCGATTATACTCCTCAAGCTCAGTAAGAGTCCTGGCACATCTAGACACAGTACATCAAAAACAATTAATTAATTATTATCACACTTCTTTAGGACAAAGTAGCTTACAATACAGCCCATCCAGCCTACAGTAATTTAGAGAAAAGTTTATTACTTGTCTGATGGTTCAATGTTTGATATGAATCAATGATACCTTGAAAAACAGTCTCCTTCAACTTTGCGTTCTCTGCTTTCAGGTCCTTGATCTCCTGCTTTAATTCAACCACAGTCTGAGTCGGACTGTTGTGATTATCTGAAGAAGGCTGTGATTGACCGTATTGCTTAAGAAACTCTTCTGCAGGGTCTGTCCTCCTGGGAGCCTTTGACTTCTGGGTGTCAAGAGATAGGAAAAAATAATTACTGAGACACAAAACCAAAATAAAAACACAGCTATTGCTGGAGTTGAGCAGCCATTTTGTACAAGAGATTCAGTATCAAGAATCAATGATCCTTACTGATTTAGATAGATAGTAATGCCTATTACACAGTAGTGCCAACTCCTTACACATTCTATGTACCACTGGGAAATATGGTCATTGCATAGGAGCTAAGTAAATTAATGTCACCTTTACTTGCTGAGACTCAGTCTCAAGATCAGTTGAGCAATCTGAATCATCCCCATTATTTTGGGGGGCCACTGAGGCCCTCTTTGTCAGCTCTGTAGGTTCTTCTTCCTTCAGCAGTGAGTTCAGTTTACATATTGTCTCAAAACGAGTAGCTAAAAAACAAAAGCAAAATACACAGACCAGAGTTATACTCAAACAGCTGATTACACCAGATCACTCTCTTGTAACACTAAGACTGAAAATGTACTTGAAGTTAGTGATGTGTGCTCCTAAATGAGTGCAAGCACTGCATGCATGCTCTGTATGCATTGCTCATATACTTGTGTACTTGCATACCCTATATATACTCTAGGCAAATTTTCAGGGGGTTATGCATAGGGTATACATGGCATCTGACATAAACATACATAACTATTCAAAAAACTTTTTTCAACATGGTTTCAATATGCAATGTGTTATTATCTCATCTCATTTTTAATGTCAGATTTACAGAGGCTTACAACTATGTGAAGACATACTGATTGTGGCACTTTCAGCATCAAAACGACATAGTACTTGTGTTTGTGTGAATTAGAGTAGTTGTGTAACTATTATAGCACACAACAAATGCGAGAAAGTCTTTAGTCATTTGGCAAGTTGACACATCAGCTTAAACAGGCTGAATCTCACCCTATTTAAGTTTGGACACTAAAAAAAACTTTTGAAGTGCTGTAAATTAAAGAGGACAATCATCACTTAAAACCATAGTAACTCTAACTTACCACTAACAAAAATGACAGTGCCTCTGTAGTGAGGCCAGCCTCCTCGTTGCTTCCTCCCATGGCGCCATTCAATAACGGCTGAGTAGGTGGCAAAGGGATTCCCATCCTGGTCCATCTTGGAATCATGATACCCCTTTATGGCATCGGTTTTTATGTCACTGAGCTTCCCATAATCCTCCCCTTCACTCCACCGCACCACTGCAAACTTCCTCTCCATGTGTTCTAAAATGATCAAATAAATAAAATCATTGTTTTGCTTAGCAATCAATAAATGACTGGCAGAAACTGTTAATAAGTTAACATTTGACATCAGTATTCTAACAAAAAAACACTTCTACTATACAAGGTATCTGCAGGGTTAGGCAAGTTAGATTTACCGCAACTCAAAATGAAATTTAATACTCATTTTGAATATATTGTGATACACAATTCTGTTGTCTAAATTGATAATATCAAGCACATATTAAACAAATTTCTTACTAAATTTGATCTGAAATATTCAAAGGAACATAATCTGAAAATTGCAGCTTAGGTTAAACAAATTGTGATTTAATAGAGGTGAGCAGAAAATGTGATATGTTCTTATGATTATTGTGATTTTAATTTCTTTCATATAATGTTAGCCCAGTCCTACCTGACAGGTGCCTCTATAGCCTACAACCAACCAGAAATGGTCAGGTAACGTTAAAGAAATACAGAAAGCACATTAACTTACTGACTACAAGATGTTCTTGAACATGAATATTTTGGCCAAAGGCTGTGCAACCAAATGCAGTAAACATATAATAATCATTCTATTTACTGATTTTAAAAGCTTAAAGTTAGAATCAAAAACAAAAGGTTCACTAATATAGACATGGAAATCAAATGGAGGAGACCAAATATTTAAGCAGGCATTGAAAAAATGTTAACTTTGCCATGTTATCTTTGACTTGTGCTACTGGATCTGTCACTGTCCACTGTTTCTTTAGGAAAATCAACAGAACTTTGTCTGACATCGAAAAACACACTGCGCAACAACATGTAAGTGTTACCCGGTTCATGTCCTCTTGATCTTATCAGCTAAAGTTATAGTTACATTGTAACATTAACAGTTATGTAGCTTATATGATGATAAGTTAATAACTTACTAACTATATTATAGCATTTAAGATATATTTGCAGCTCATATCTGTTGTGAAAAATTTTGACGTGTGAAATTCCTATGTGACATATATCATATATATATCTATCCCATCCCTTCCCCTCTTTCTCGTATTATTTTTAATGAATTATGGACTTAATGGACGTAATGAAGATGCCAGCCAAACAGAAAAGCAGACAGCAGAACGTTTCACATTAGCACAGGTAGGACAGAATTACAGTATAATCTGAATAAATTTCTCTCTCTTTCTCTCTCAATTCAGTTTCAATTTCGGTTTGCTTTATTGTCATAAACGTCACACAAACAATATTGTCAAAGCTTTAGGGATAATACAAAAAAGAAATTGATCCAGTTCATTAAATTAAAAAAAATTATTTAATAAAAGAATAATTGTATGTGTGTTTGTGTGTGTGTTTAAGGAACTCTGAATAAATTAATAAAAGGCAGAGTTAGTTGTGGTCAGACTAACTGCAGCTGTCATGTGTTGTGATGGTTTTCTCTCAGGCTGTGACATGCACTGACATATCTTGCTGTTTATATGGCGCTGACACTATTTTCTACTAGTAGGAGCAAATCTAAATCTGGGAATTTACATTTCATTTTTGTAAAGAACTTTGTTCTGAAATCTTCATATGTGTTTCAGTGTAGCAGGAAATGTTTCTCTGTCTCCACCTGTGAGACCAGAGCTTTGTAATGGTAGGAGTTGGGGTCACTTGCTTTTAGGTGTTTGTAAATTTGATAGCTCTTGTTTGTATCCTAATCAAAGAGGGATTCTCTCTGTCTTTTTCTTTATCTATCTATCTATCTTTATCTATCTATCTATCTATCTCTCTCTCTAAGGATTTGTTGATTTGTATCCTTCCTATGAAAGTGATGAAGATGCCCAAAGAGAAGAGCAGAGAGCAGAACCTTTCACATTGGCACAGGTGAGAAAAAACTACGGTAAACACATTTATGAAGTTATTTATATTAAATTTGATCATACATGTGTGGTGTCCGAAGAATAATCAAATTAAATAATCACGAGACAATGCTATGACAAAATGCACAGATTATCTCTGCGGCTCATGGAAATGTACAGCCACAGTCTGTCTTTCCTCTTTTTGTTTGTGGCTTCCATTTCATTTTTAGTAGAGTATTTAGAGTAGAGCAAAACAATTTAGAGAATTTAGAGAGAATTTAGAGTAGAGCAAAACAAGGTTAAGTAATGGAAAATTAAAAGTAGACGTTTTATTATGGTGCTTCTTTTTCTGTAATTTTAGGAAAATACCCCTCTAGAAATACAGGATGATGTCCACTCTCATGGACTAACAGAAGGGCAAAGTTGCATCTCAATTCTCTCCTTTGCATTGAGACACAACACTACAGGTGTATTGACAGAAGACCTGCTGAAACTTCTAAAGTTACATTCTGCTGAGACAAGTGCAGTCCCAGCAAGCAAGTATTTTTTGGAGAAACCATTAGCTGGTATTATAGATCAATTAAAACGCCATCATTACTGCAGAGTATGTACTAAGTACCTTGGCACGTCACAATCACAAGAAGAAACACTTACATGTGTGTCATGTTCCTCGTCTAGAACAGTAAAAAACACTTTACACGAAGGACATTTCTTTATCAGTATTCCATTAAAGGATCAACTGAAGGATGTTCTTGAGAATCAAGGTATGCATGATCTCTGTTTTCGTGCTGATGACAGTAGGCATGTAATAAGTGATATATGTGATGGCACCTTATATCAGACCTTGAAATCAATTAGTGAAGAGGATTTCCTCTCCCTTACATTAGCATTAGCATAAGCATGTGCTTTTATGTGCTTTATGGTTTGGATCAAAAAAAACAGACGTGACCTGCTTCTTCCAACCATTTGTAGAGGAATGTGCCAATCTTTCACAAGCTGGCTTTGAGTGGCATCATCCTAGTGATCAGTCATGGAGACACGTGAAAGTGTGTGATGCAGTAGCAAGGCCATTACTACAAAATTTTAAGAATTTTAATGGTGAATATGGCTGCGGAGTCTGCCTTCACCTGGGGGTGCAAGTGAGGAAAGGAAAAGGAAAGTCAAGGGTTTCACAGAAATCACAAAACCACAGTAGAGATAGGACAGATTGCTGAAAGAGAAGGGACGACAGTATTGGGCATAAAGGGCCCATCTGCCATTGTAGATTTACCAAAGTTTGATCTAATTAATGGAATGGTCCCTGACTATATGCACTGTGTGTTGCTTGGTGTGTGCAGACAAATGGCAACTTTATGGATCGATTCTAAAAGCTATTCTGAGCCATGGTACTTTGGCACACAAACAGCTATCTTGGACAAAAACCCCTTGTCTATAAAACCTCCAGGTATTGTTGCTTGAGTTCCAGGATCTCTCACTGAATGCAAATTCTGGAAAGCCCATGAGTGGCAACACTGGCTTCTGTACTATAGCTTGCCAGTTCTAAAAGGCATACTTCCACAGAAGTATCACTCTCATTGGGCATTACTGATAGAGGACATAAGCATTCTGTTGGGGTCTGAAATAAATACAGAACAGATAAATCACGCCAATGAAGCATTAGTGTACTTTGTTGGAGGTGTGCAGTCGCTGTATGGGGAAGAGCACATGACATTCAATGTTCATTCACTTCTGCATTTACGCAAAAGTGTTGTGCATTGTGGTCCTTTATGGGCACACTCAGCCTTGATGTTTGAAGATTTCAATGGATACCTCCTGAAACAAGTGAAAGGTAGCAAAGCTGCACCACAACAAATATGCAAACGAGTGCTGTTCTCCCGAGCTTTTCCCCATTTAGCAAAGCAATTTTTAACAAATTCACCTGCAGAAGTCACAGATTTCTGTAATGAAATGAGAACTGAAAAGCATCATGTCAAGAAGTTTGCGAAGTTCACTGGGGTGACTGCCCTTGGTCCACCAAATGTAAGATTAGTATCTGTTAGTGATCAAGCTGCCCTCCACGCAGTGAGAGAGGTTTCCACAAACTCTGTGGTAAATTACTGCAAGAGAATTGCTGTAAATGGAGAAGTTATCCATGGTCATACCTACAGCAAAACTAAACAAAGAAACAACTCAGTTGTGCTTTTGAAGGATGGGAGTATATTTATTGTCTCCCACTTTATTGACATGGGTGATCAGAGTTTATATGCCATAGGAAACTATGGTAATTGCACAGTACAGAAGTTAGCCAGAGGTTCTCTTATCAGAACTCCACTGAGCTACATGTCAACTGTTCACTTTCCCACAGGCTTTCACAAAGCCATAAACACTGCTCAGGTAGTTAGACCATGTATGTATATTCATTTTCCACAGTCCAGCTCAATTGTATGTCGGCTACTTAAGACATATTACTGTAAATAAATTAAATGTGAAGATGGTCACCAAATCATTCAGGTTCATTCAGGTTGCTGAGCTGGAAAGTAACTAATTGCTTTTATTGTTACTGTAATCTAATGTGAGAATCTGTCAAATCTATAATGAAACAGCACACAGCAGTGTGAAAAGTTTACTACAAAATGTAGATTTATTCTTTAATACATTTTGCAATGCATGTCATTAACATTTATGTATTTCATTGTAACATCTAAAAAGGACAGAAGTGCAAGGTATGGAGTCAAAACAATTATTAAAGTAGCATCTTAATAAACTTAGGCCATGTAAAAAAAATGTATTGAAACTTGTATAATGTCATATACTAATTAAATCTTTCTATGGCAATAAATGACTGGGTCTTTTTTTATCTCCTTTCATTTTGCTTAATATTAAATACATTACATGGCAATTTTCAATCTTTGCCGCATTCACAAGAACTTAATAAAACTTCATTTTGACCATTTTTTTGGATATAATTGCTCATAAATTCTTAAATAAATAACAACAAATATAACACATGTAATCATTTGTAATCAAAATTCACTAGTTGAGATTGAAGAAAGTGTGAGCTAAAAACCAGAGACAATGCTAGTGTCATAAAATATTAGAAATACCAAAAACTCTTTTTGGTCATCTCATCATGTGCTTTTCCATGTACTTTAATGTCTCATATATGTGACATCTTACATATCTCTCCAGCCCA